AAAGAGTAGCCTGCAAACTGAAAAACTTAAACTTTAGATTCTTACTGTTGATTGAATTGGTGTCTCACTTCTCATTGTCACAATCACATTAAATGCTAGTACTATGTGTTAAAACAGTGTGGGTTAAATCCATTAAGACTTGTTTTTCTGCCCCAGAAGAGGGCTTGTTTATGTTCAAGGAAGGATGGCATACCTTGTCAGGAAGATGTATCCTCTTATGCCTTTGTTTTTTCAACCCAGCCTCTTCTCTGAATGTTTGCCCATTTGTAGAAAGCAACCCAAATCATTCTTTACGCTTTTCATCTTCCTCTGCTTCAAAGTTCCTTCCAGACTGATACATAGACTGATTTAGCAGAAATGAAAACTATTGCAAGAAACTAGCTGTTGAATCTTGCTGGAAGTTTTCAGCCAAGTTTAGAGTCCCATGAGTTCAGACTGATATTAGTGTAGCTAATTCTGAACTGTCTGAGATTTGTCCATCATTGGACTTGAGAACTTGGGATTCTTTTTAGGCAAACATCGATTTCCCCTCTTAATATAGCCATTAATAGTTGTCAAGCCATAAAAGTGACCTATTTAATTTCCAACTTATTTTCTAGCACAGGAAATAAGAAATTTTTCTCTGTGTATACAAACTTCTACTTTTTCTCTCCAAGGGCAGATTATAAATGCTTATTGTATATTAAAGTGAAAGGATTGTTCATAACTAAGTCTTATTTCTGTACAGAAATATTAATGGTTACTTCACTTTTGGCAGAGAATCATCTTCACCACTACCGTAGATGCTGAAGGTTTCTGTACTCAATCAGCAACAATTATGTACTGAAGCAGTAAACTCTTCATACATACTATTATCTGAGGGTACGTCTACACTTGCTCCCTAGTTCAAGCTAGGGATGCAAATGTAGCTGACCAAAATCGCTAATGAAGCAACTCTTTTTTAAGGAATAACGTTAGTTCAAACCAAGGGGGTTGATTCGAACTAATGTGTCCCAGAGCACGCTTCCTGGTTCGAATCAGCTGGTGAACAGAATAACGTGTGGGTGAGATTATGCTAATGAAGCACGGGATACTTAATCCCCGCTTCATTAGCAACTTTGGTCGGCTACATTTGCATCCTTAGCTTGAACTAGGGAGCAAGTGTAGATGTACCCTGAGCTTAAGTGGTATTTCATCCTAGAACATACTGGGCAGTTCACTATTACTTTCTAAAAGTTGATGTGTGTGTTTTTCAACTCGATAGAGACTAGCTTCTTATAATTACCAAGGACAGGATCCAAAGCTCTCTATGAAACCCACTATTCGGTGTGCAAATGGAAACATGTCTTCAGAATAGTCCCGTTTCATTCTAGTACTGCCGGTCCCTGAGTTGCAAACAGTCGAGTTATGACTGTTCGCATTTATGACCAAAGCTCCCATTGAGCGGTTGTAAAGGCGGTCCCCGAGTTATGAACGCAACCCGCCCTTACGAACAGCACGGTCGCTACGTAACTCAGTGGGGTCCAAGTTGCGAACAAATTGAGTTATGGCCAAGTGTTTGGTCCGTAACTTGGGGAGAGGCTGTATTTAGGTTTTTGGGATATGCACTTTCTCCAAATACAGAAAAGGAATGATCTACTTTAAAACATGCTTTGTTTCTACTGTTATGGGAATTGATGTGGAATGTCAAATCAAAGGCTGTCTTAAGCAGTTTCTTGGCAGAAGATCTCTAACAACTGGAACTATTACTAGTTCAATCTGTAGTACGTTTAGAACGTCAGGGTTTTTTATGAAGTGCCCTTTATCTCCCCTTAGAAGGATGATGGGTGCCTTTGTACAAATATGGAAATTAACTGTATTTAGAACTAAAGGTTCAGATTTCAAAATAAATAGATGTTGTGAATATTGTCACTTTACTACCTTTTCTAAGACCTGTTGGATTACCACAGGATGGCAGAAATCTGCTAGGACAATTCTTGTGGATTATTTTGCTTGCAAACAAGTCATGGCAATAAGCCAATTTAACTTGGATATTTTTTTTGTTAATCACAGGATGACTTACGGAAGGAAGACTTTAGCAGTATGAGTGCTCAACTGTTGTATAAAATGTTCAAATCAAAGACTGAATATCCTTTGCATAAAGCAATTAAAGTGGAGAGAGAAGATGTTGTTTTCCTTTATCTTATTGAAATGGATTCACAGGTATGGTGAGCATTACTGCCTCAATTTGAACTAGAGTGAACATGGCTTTTTTTTTCCTTTAGTTTGGGACTAGGTATGGGCTCGGCATTTTAACTGTCATCTTGACTAACAAGAACAGTAGGTTGCTCTCTAGTCATACTGTGAAGGAAATAATAAAGTTTAAAGAAAAGGAACCTATTGAGACTTAGCATATAATGTTTAGCACCTTTCTATTTCAAAGGTACTGAGAATTCACTAATGTTCACAAAGTACTGCATAAAACACCGCTGGGGAAATTTTGCACCAAAACTTAAGTTCTGTACACAAATTTTAAAATTCTGCATACTTCTTAAAACAAAATCTAATTACACTGTTTTCATTTAATTTATACATCTATTGTACTGTAGTTTAATGTGGTGAGGGAGCATTGGAGAAAATTCTCAAACCCCCTCACAGTAATGTATCTAGTATTGGGCCTTTACTTTTAGCTATTAGTCAATAGTGTATGCAGCCATATGATCAATGATGCATCCTAGGCAATTGAAGAGCAGTGAAGGCTGGGCACTCAAATGCCTAACTTATATTGAGGACTGACCATCTCCAGAGAGATTAAAGCAAAGAGATCATGGACCATACCTTGAAGAAATTTTCAGTCAAACTATTCTAGTTCTAATTACTGAAGTACCATGAGCATTTTATAAGGTCTTACTGTCCTTTACAATAAAGCTCCTTTACACCAGTCTGGCAATGTAAAGGAGCCTTAAAATGTTACCTGACTTTTATACTGCTAGGAATTCACAAACAATGGGAACAACTAAGCAGGCAGGCCACTACATTCTCCTCTGCCTGAGGGGACAGAGCCTACCCCACACCTACCTCCTTAGAAACATTCCTCCAAAGCTCTGCCCCACCACACAGATGCTCTATGCTCGTGGTGCACTCATGTGTGCACACCTTCTGTTCATATGCACCACTCCCTTGCCCCAACAGTGATGTTTATATCTCTACTAAATGCTCATGGCACCTAAACCTGCCTACCTGTGCTGCTAGGGAGGGACTCATGACCACTTTTGTGGCTTCCCTTTCTGCAGGGACCATGAGTTCTGCATGCACACTGATGTAGTTTCCCTCAGGAGTAACAAATACCATGTATTAATAGGAATGATGATGGAATATGGCTTATCTGGTATAGCGATGCAAGCATTTCAACTACAGGTGTTAGTAACATCCAAAGAACCAATATCAATCGGCTTATCTTATATAGTTTACATTGTAATAAACTTAAATTTTTCTTACCATGAGGACTATGGTAACCCCTTTTTCAGTTACTTTAGTTCATTTGTTTGCAACTTTATTTGAAACGATTGTTTAAAGAAATTATATACTGCCTACTGTTTTGTTTTGTGATTTAAACTGTTCAGATACAAAACTAGAGCTATTCATAAGTGGAGATACCAAAAGATTTTTCTCTGAACAGTAGAGAATGACTCTGATTATACTGGAAGATTCTGCCTTCTCACAAATTAAAGTTGGTTTCAAAATCAACTGTTACCTCTAATTGTAAAATAGTGTTTTGTTTGCTGTGTGTATTTAAGACCACTCAAGGGATTTAATTGGATATAGTACTAGCATTTGTTGCACTGAAACTAACATGCATCTTAAAGTTGCAAGAGAACACTCAGAATATGTGTATATTCAATGTTGGTCAACTGTTTGTAGCTGCCTGGGAAGCTCAATGAACTGGATCACAATGGAGACCTTGCTTTAGATTTAGCCCTCTCACGAAAATTGGAAAGTATTGCAACCACATTAGTCAATTACAAAGCTGATGTGGATATGGTGGATAAGAGAGGCTGGAGTCTGTTACACAAAGCCATCCAAAGAGGTAAGGATATTGCTTTTGCAACTCTTTCCAGGGTTGTGTGTATCTTAATTGAGACTGGTTTTTATGCATCTCAATTTTCATTTTGAATGTTCCTTGGCAAAAGGAGAGCGTTGAAGCCCAAGGCCTAGGGTTACTGTCTAGTTATAAAAACCTAATAGAAATAATAGTTAAAGTTCATTAAAAGGATTCTTGTTGGATGTAAACACGAGCTTTCTGGGTTGGCAACTGAAAAGAAATTGCTAGTTTTTCTTGCAGGTGTTCATATGCGAACTACTTTGCTGTTGTCCTAGCCCAATGTGAATGAAGGGGCAGAGGGAGAGATGTTTAAATCTTAATTCCATTTAATGTAGTGGCTCGTACATCATTGGCTACTGCAATAGTCTGTACTTTTGGGGCTGCCGGGCACCTGGGGGCGGGGCTGCACATGCGCTGTGACCCTGGGGCTGGCACTGGCATATGCCGTGACCCAGGGGCAGAGGCTGGCACCGCGCATGTGCCACGTGCCTGGGGGCGAGGCCAGCCCATCTTGTTTGGTGGGTGCCCATAAATGGCCCGGCAGGTGCCCTGGCGCCCACAGGCACCACGTTGGGGACCACTGCTGTACTTGATGCCTCAAGAAGAGGATGGAAAGAGATTCTCTTCCATCTCCTTCCCTCAGGATTGTAAGATGTGCAGCAGCTGTCCTCTCTAGTAATAAGGTAGAGTTAATGGAGTTTTCAACCCTTGGTGCATAGGGAGAATGACTATCCGCTGCTTGGAGGGGGACCTTAGTTTTCATGACCATTAATATTAGGTATGTATTATGTATCCGTGTAGGTGACTGCTTCCAAGTTCCAGTGAGCAGTAAATCATCACTGGTACTTAGAACAGTCCCTGACTTCAGATTCCTGAGCTGCTGTCAACACAAGAAGGAAAGCAGATACATGAGAGGATTCACAGAACCTAATAGGAAATGGTTGCCATGGCAGTAATGCTCCGGAGGCTTAAAGAACAGAGAAATGGTCTTGGCTTATATCTTTCCCTGACCAGATAAGGCTGTATGAGGCTCTGGTATAAACCCTAGTGGCCTCATTGCCTGTTACTTAATGCCTACAATAACAAAGTTGTTTCTTTGCTGCATGCATGGATGCTTTAGGTGAAAACTCATTAAGTTTATTGTTCAATTAGATGCTTCTCGATATTAATACGAAGTTTGTTTACAGCTGAAGTTAAGAGCTCAGTACCAAGCAAAGCTCCTTCATTAGTCTTAGGTTGCAGCTAATCACATTAACCCTACCAGCATAGTATTGGGGGGGAGCATGATGCTGTAAAATGTTGAGCAGGACTTGTAAGGGAGCTGAATACCCTTAACTCACTGCCAAGACTAAGCATTACTAGGAACTGGGTTTGTGTGTGAAGGCTGCAACTTAATGAAACTGTTGAAACCGGGTATAAAGGTAACATTTAAGGGCTTCAGTGCTGTGCAACTTAATTTCAGCATTTAAATATGAATATTTTCTTGTCAGTTTTTTGGACTAGATCTTGCAATTAACTACTTCCCTGTACTTGACGATGCAGTGGGTTAGTTGCTATGTTAATTGTCAAAATGGGGTGCTGTGGTAATGCATCTTGATTAGTTGGCTTCTCCAGGAAGAATTAAACCACTGCCAGGATTAGCTTAACTTCTTCTGACTGAGGGAGTTCCTCAAATAAAAATGCCTGAAACATGACCCTTTTAGTGGGGCTTGCTCTATAGATCCTACAAAGCTACATGTTGCTACTGTAAAATTCACTGCCATATCAAAATAGGAACCTATAAAGTGGGAAACTTTTTTCCTTTGTGCATGGAAATACACTCTTGTTCTTAACTGCACAAGGTGAGAGAAGGAAGGCTAGATTTAAAGCACTGGACTGAGACTAAACATTTGAGTTAATTCACAGGCCACTCACAAATCAGGAAGAACCACTTCATCTCCCCATAAAATAGGGATAATGCTTCCTTTGTCTAGCTTGGCTGTGTAGATGTTTAAGTTCTTCAGGAGTAAGGAATGTCTCAAGTGTTTTTGACAGTGCATGATAGTCCCTGACTTCTGTTATTACTGTGTAATTTAAATGTCATGTCATCTGAAAAATAACTAGCGCAATGGTGCGACCTGCATATTTCCATGCCTCCTCTACCTGTTGACCCCCAGGGCTGCTGGCTTTGGAACTAGAGGGAAGTGTGAACCAAAATGACCGATGGGTATAGCTTTGTTATACAGATGTACACTGAAACGCTTCAGAGCTAGAATGGGACATTCCTTTTTACTTTGTATAACAAAGTAATTTGGGTAAACAAGCTCCTATCTGTTGCTGTTGTCCAATAGCAGCGATACTTTGTAGACTTTTTTTCTACCGTGACTCGTTAATGTGGAGAAGAACCTGTTCTCTCGACTGAACTCCATAGTTTTGGCAGGGACTAAAACTCATTCCAGGATGCTTTAAAATATTTCAGCCAAGCACTTACCTCACATTCTTTGAGCTAGAATGTAACTTTTAAATAACAAACTGGCTGTCTAAGGCAGTCTTACTGAAGGGCCAGCCTGACCAACTTTATATTGTACATCACAACTAATGGCTTCTAGCAGGGAGGAACATAGTATCAAGCAACAGTTGTGTTTTCGGTATTGGAACGCACTTCAGGATGCTTGTGGAACCATAGCAGACCGCAAGCTACTGAGTCTAAAGACCAGCTCTGTAATCTCTTCCTTTTGTACATCCCAAAAGGAGATAAGTTTGCTTCCAACTTTCTCATTAAAAATGGTGCTCGTGTGAATGCTGCTACATTGGGAGACCAGGAGACTCCTCTGCACCTTGTTGCATCATACAGCCCTAAGAAGCATTTTCCAGATGTGATGTCAGAGATGGCACAGATTGCAGAGTCCCTTCTGCAGGCTGGAGCCAATCCAAACATGCAAGACTGCAAAGGAAGGTGAATATATTTGTAAAAGGATCTTGATTTGGTGGTAACTATCTAATAAGTTGTATTGCAGCTCATTGAAATCTGTGTACCGTCAAGGAATAGGGTGTCCAACAAAAATAGATCAAGCTAGATTATTTCAACAGGAGACCTGCAAATACCTCCACTGTCCTTCAGGGAGTGGTATACTAGATGGCATTCTTCCAACAGTACTGAAATGGCAGCATAAAGGTGGAGGATGGAACTGGCTGGTGAAATACATCAATGTACATATAGCCAAAGGAACGGAACTAAGAGGGGTGATGACAAACTGTTGGGGTCCCCTGGATATCAGTTTAGGGTGCCTAGTCTCTATCAGACTAACACAGTCCCGTATATGAAAGCTTCAAAATGCTTTTATATCTCTCTTTTCCCCCCCCCCCCCCCCCTTGAATGGTGTCTATAGGAACAGTAGCAGGCTGCAGAAAATGCAAGACTAGTAGATTTGGGTAGTGGGGAATGGACTACAGGTCTGAAGGACCCACATTTACCATTAGGGAAGTTAAATATTTTACATAGCGCTAAACTGCTTGGATGCTCTAACAGGCTTCTCGTGTCCCTGATGTCAGGACAGACTTGTACTTAACCTTGAAAGTCAGTGGGAGGGTTGTGCAGGAGCAAAGTCTGACATGACTTAAAATGTGTATGGGAATGTGAAATGAAATCTTCTTTCACTAGCTTTCAACTATTTCCTAATTGTAAGGGACTTTCTTTCTTTCTGCAGGACCCCATTACATGCATCAATTGTTGTTAGGAATGATCCTGTATTCAGTCAGCTTCTCCAGTGCAAACAGTAAGTTTCAGTTGTGAAGCTCTTACCCTATTCAAAGTATTTCAAACTCAATCATACAGTGGAGAGGAATATAGCTGTAAGCTATTTCTCTTGTTTAAACAAACCTAGCCCCTCTCTATTCCTCACTGCTAGTAGATTCTGTGGATGCAAAATTGTAAAAGTCTGCATGAGGTAATGTCGCCTATGACCCCTTGGCTCTATTTCTAGCTTTGCTTGATGTGGGAGGGGGGGGGGGAAATGGAGGCACAAGAGAAGTTGAAGTGACTTATCCTGAAGTCACCCATTTGTAAAAAATTGGGTATTGTTGCCCTTCTTTTTGGAAAGCAAAATGAGCTCTGCTGGTGAGATGAGCTCGCTATTGCATGTGGAGTTTCAAATGGAAACCTGTATTGGTGAAGCTGGTCTTCTGGCTTGGTATAGAGGAGGCAAAAGAGGATTTTTCTCTAAGGAAGCGAAGGGCATAGCAATGCCTTTGCTTTAGGTAAAGCACGGAGGTATAACTCTGAACTAGAATTGCAAAATGGATGCAGTAATCAGGTTCTTGGAATAGCTAGTCTGACATCCTCCAGTTCAACTTCCATGGGAACGGAGTACGACATTGAAGATGCTTTAGGAGAGCAGTTCCTGCTTGAGTGTTCTAGGTGAAATGTGATTAGAATCTAAAACTAAGGATGTAATAGTGCAGTCGATTAAACAATTAACTGATAAGCGGGGTGCTGATCAGTTAACATTATCGCCTACACACAATACTGTCCCCACCCGCAAGTAAGTTTTTGAACCAGCCTGCAAGTCCTGGCTCTCACCAGAACTCTGCATCAACCCCTGCTCTGACTTAGTGCTTATAGAGCACTAAATTTTTGTTAACTACACCATTAATGAATTACACACTACTTTACACACTAAATATCCCTATCTAAAACTGAGTCTTTCAACAGTCACTTGAGGCAGATTTCTATCTTGAAGTGGTTTACATAAGACAGGCTTCACTATAGCCTCAGAATTTTTAATTTCTCCATTGAGTTTAAAGGGTTATAAATACAGGTCTAAGGGAATAGTTTAATGTAGTAAGATGAGGGAATGTAGCATAAGTCCATGTATCACAGACTGGGTATGAGGCCTAAGGCCTAGACAGCATTGGTCAAGATTTTGCTAATGTAAAGCAGAGTTAAGCTGTGAGTAGGAGGCAGGCCCTGCTCACAAAGTTGGCAAGAACAGTTCTGCTATTACAAGAACACTCCTACTGAAGAGGTACTAGGCACAGGCCATGAGCACATTCCACAGGGGTTATAACAGAACACCTAATTAAGAAACATCTTGGTACCAAAACCCACCCCACAAATAACATACATACTGACCCAGGTTCAGGACAGGGTCTAAATTAACAGCATAATGAGCAGTAATTGAACCCCACCCCTTGTATGAGGTGGTAACTAAGCAACAGAGGGTGGCAACCTAATACTACAGGAGTGATGTGTAACTTGTTTGTACCTGTGTGTAAGTGTACCATAAAGGGTGGTTGTTGACTGACTGGGGGAGGCAATGCCAAATCCATAGTATTGATTAAATGTTAGTCCTTTGTTACGGTGTACATGCGTATAGTGGCACAGCAGTGAGTCTGTTCGTTAACATTTACTGTTGTACTTCACTTGGCAATAAACCTTGCCTGGTGCTTTCAATCCTTATCTGATTTGTAGTCTCTGGTGAATCTCTTGAAGTCTGTCATGTTAACTAATTGTGTATGGTTAATGCGTTAAACAGGGGCGCATGCATGCATGCAGCCAAAACTTTATCATTGATGGAGCAGAAGACCTGTCAAACCCATCAAAACACCTAACTGGTGACACTGGTGATCAGACCTAGCAATTCTGTTTATATAGAACTTTGTTTTTATTGGAGTCTTATTTTTTCAGATTCTTGGAAGGTGATCTTTGGTGAATGGTTTGAGGCACAAAAAGGGGTATCTAAAAATCTAACTTTTTTTTGTTAGACTAGACTTGGAATTGAAGGATCACGAGGGAAGCACAGCTCTATGGCTTGCAGTTCAGTATATTACCGTGTCTTCTGATCCTTCTGTAAATCCGTTTGATGATGTCCCTGTTGTAAATGGAACCTCCTTCGATGAGAACAGCTTTGCAGCACGGCTGATCCAGCGAGGCAGCAATACAGATGCACCAGACACAGTAACAGGTAAAACAGAGGTTTGTATTCAAGATTAGGCAAAAGGTTTAGATGAGAAGGTCACAAAAGCAGAGATTAGCATAAAAGCTCATTTAATGGCATCTTGCCCCTAAGTAAGGAGTCTGGTGTAGGGCTTTGCTCTTCTGAGGTCTGAACTGACACAGGCCCTGTCTTTACCTCAGTAGGATGGGGATCGTTCCAAAATCTCTAGAGAATAGGCATAGGAGAAGGTACAGTGGCTCTGAACCTTACTTTATACATTGTGTTGCACTCTGACTCAGCTGTACATACAAACTAGAATACATCATAAATGGCTAACTTTGGAAGGTCCAGGTGTACTCTTCCTGCTCAGAATTATAGATGCTAATGGATAGAAAATCCTCAGGCATCTGAAGTCAGGAGTGTTTCCTGCTGTTGTCCTCCCTTCCTTTCTAAATTCTAAAGCTTGTTCTGCAATGGCAGCAAGAAAACAACAAATGTAAAGAAGGGGCTGATCAGACATGCCTATCCTTCAATAAGCATTATCTCTGCTACTGCTCTATTAAGTTTTAAATCTCTTGGAATGATACTAGACCATGTTCCAAATTGTAACTTGTAATCCAGTATAATACTTCAACTTTGCATGCACTTTGCTACTATCTTTTAGGAAACTGCTTATTGCAAAGGGCAGCTGGAGCGGGGAATGAGGCAGCAGCTCTCTTCCTGGCAACCCATGGGGCAAAAGTGAACCACAGAAACAAATGGGTAAAAGTTCAATTTTTGTTTTTGTATTGCAATAAATATAATGCAGGTAACTAACCCCACTAAACTTCCCATGTCGTCCCTTCTTATTCTCAGGCCCTTTATTGTAGCTAAACTTATGAAGCCAAGCAATTAATGAAAAATCAACTTTAGTTACTTATTCAGTTGGAGACAAGTATTCAATAAGTCTACAGAGTTTAAAACAGTCTACAGGTTTTCTGGCAGGGAGAGGAAACTATTGGCCTATTGATGAAAATCTGGTGGTCCTCTCACTCTAGCATTCTGTGTCATGGTGTACAGACAATTGTACTATTCCATGGCACACGGATTGAAAGGTTCAGTACTTACTGCAGTGATGTGTTAATGCTTTTTTCCCTCTCCCAATAATGCCCGTGATCAATACTTCTCTAGATGCATCCATGGTTAGAAATGCTGTATCATAATTCAGACTAATTTTAACTGCCCATAGTGTTTACTTAGTTTGTATACTAGTAATCTTGGAAGTCGCAGTACACCATTCTTCCTACATTTAGCTGTTGGTTTCAGAACTAAATTTTATTTGTTAAAGGGGGAAACTCCATTGCATACATCTTGTCGGCATGGTTTAGCAAATCTTACTGCAGAGCTTCTGCAACAAGGAGCTAATCCTAATATCCAGACTGAAGAAGCAGTGCCTAGTCGGAAGGATGCAACCTCACCAACTGCATCAGATAATGTCTATCTGCAAACTCCCCTTCATATGGCTATAGCATACAACCACCCAGATGTGGTATCAGTCATCCTGGAGCAAAAAGGTAGGATTTTGTTCAAGTTGCACAACTACTATTGGATGGGCAAGATTACAGCTATCTGCATAGTATGGCAAGCTGTAAATCATATCATGAGTTGTATCTCTATTCCTGTAGGCTGAGTTGTCTTAGATTTACTGTTTTCCAAGTGTAACTTCTCAGTTACAAGTTGAATTTTCTAAGGGTGCCGGACTAGAGACCTGACTGGTTCCAAACCATAGGAGGTCAATTTGTCTAGCAGCATTACCAACACTTCCACTGCTTTACTGGGTTCTTAGAAGACATTTAGGAGTAAACTAGAGCTAAATAACACTAAAAACCAGGACTGGAGGCTGTAGACCAACTTTGAGACCAAGGAAAACTTGGCCACACCCATAAGTAGACATCTGGCTAACTAAAATCATGCTGGACCACAGATGCTTTTCTACCAGAGTTAGTTTTGCTAAACATCGTAGTTCTGCATTGTTCTGTTTAATATGATCTCCTGATATATAAAGGAAGTGTCTGTCCTGGAGGCTGGCCTTACAATGAGGAAGCAAGAGACACCCACACAGATACTAATTCCTTCAGTTTTTCTCTTCTCCCCCCACGACCTTCATTTCAGACTGAGTAGAGAAAATTGTAAACTCCTGTCACCAAGGAGATAAATACTCTTGTTCAGATGAATGCAGGACTCAAGCCTCCAGTCTTAGTAACTACATAGGAATTTGTTACAGTAATTGATATCTAGATATAAGGACAGTGGGTATTTCTGTTCCTCCATGGGAAGCAAGACTTGATAAAATCCTGGACTTGACTGTAATTTTTACTTTTGTGACTGAATTATATTTAACGTTGAGCAGTGCCAACAAATTTCCTTCAAACTTCTTTATTGCTGCTTAGTTAGGAAGTTACCTTGGGGAAATATTTTGTAAGTGACATAGTAATTTGTGTCAATTGAAATCCAAATATACCAAACAGGTCTTGAGGGGTTTCAAGGTAACATTGATGCTTAGAAATATAGGAACACTGTTTAACCAACTTTGCTGGGGTGATTAATCAAAAGTATAATACGGTGTCTTTCAGCTAATGCTCTTCATGCTCCCAACAACTTGCAAATCATTCCTGACTTCAGTCTTAAGGACTCCAGAGACCAAACAGTCCTGGGACTAGCCTTGTGGACAGGTAATGGCTTAAATTCTTTGCAGAAAAAAAGTAGTTGTGGAAAACTTATTGTCAAATGCACACCTGTTCTGAGGGAGAACTATTGATCAACACTTTTCTGTTTATGGAACTACTGTATAGCCAGGCACGCTTTGGTGGGGGAAAGAGGGAGGGCCTTTATTTTGATTAACACTTGCCAGGAATTGGATTCCACTCAAGTGCATGAAAATCAGTGCAAAAACTTCAGTTTTTTGGTAAATATCAGGGTTAATCATTGGGACAGGAAGACGACAAAAAAAGCAATCAATAGAGAGAAATAAGCCTTAAAAGTAAAAGCCGTTTAATGCTTTGGCTTAGTTTTTGAACTTTTAGCAGTACATGTGCATGGATATCTTCCACTATGCTGCATTATTTAACAGGCAGCCTTGCATTACTTACATTAGATTTTATCCTCTTAATGATATCAATAACTTAATTTATTAACGTAATTGTCATTGGAACAGTCCCAAAAAATTGGGTGAAAAATCAATAACAAAACAAATTGCTTTTTAAACCAAGGAATTGTTTGACTAAAACCAAAGGGCCTTGTGGCCCTTAGTGTACACTAAATCTCTGAAGCCTGGAGTAAGATAGTTCAAGTGTGCACTTTAGGTGTTTTAGAAACTTAATTTTAAATGAGAGGAGATAAGATTTATCTGAGGGGTGGGGGGAAGGGACTAATGGAAACTCACTCTAGTTTCACAGCACATATAGCTACTTCGGTCATGTGAAGCAAATACACAGCTTTAAAAAAGTCTGTTTTGGCTTGCTTCATATGCTGAGTGTAATAAACCAGCAGATGGAAAGATCTGTCCCTTCCCTTAGATTAGCACTGCATTGCTTGTCAGGCATATGGAAAACTTACCATTTCCTCAATTCATGGGTGGAGATAAATTTCCTTCCCTCTCTCAAAGGTTACTTTCCACTTCAGTGAATTGGACAAGTCAAAACTCCTTGCCGTGACATTTGTATCTAGCTAGAGACCACACAATGGTAGCAATGTGTACAGGCAGTCCCTGGGTTACATGGATCCGACTTACATCGGATCCCTACTTACAAACGGGGTGAGGCAACCCTGCACTAGCTGCCCCCCCCCCCTCCCCCCAGCAGACCTCCGAGACATACGTAACCTGGGGACTTCCTGTACTTCAGGATAGCCCTTTAGGTCTGTCATTGAGATTTAAATATACTGGCTTGACTTTCATAAAGTTTAGCTTTCCCTGCTGTCAGACACTCTGGTACACAGCTATTGGAGATTCACGTATAACTGGGATATTAATTTGTTGTGTTGAATCAGTTCAATCTCAATTGGAAGGGTGATAAACTATTTCTGTGTATTGTTAGTCTCTTAGCATTTGAGTGCAGTTCTAGAATTATGGCAATACAATAGCTTAGGCACCTAAATACACTTGAACCTATTTAATCCAGCAGCCTGGAGAAATAGGTTCATGTCAATTATGGAGTTCTCCAGACAATGGGCATTTGCTGTCATGAAGGGAGTGGAACTTGTGGGGAGAGGGTGCAGAAGCATGTGGGATGGGGAGTGGTTTTGGGAGGGTGCAGGAGCACACTGGGGATGCAGAGTCTGGGTAGGTAGAGACTGGGGATAGAGTGCTCGACCCAATGGTAACGTTGTATGTGTATCAATTTGCTTTTGCAGTACTGAAACCTTTTTATAGGGGGAAAATATTGTCCTTTTACAGGCATGCACACAATAGCAGCTCAGCTACTTGGCTCTGGGGCATCCATCAATGACACCATGTCAGATGGACAGACTCTCTTACATATGGCAATACAGAGACAGGATAGCAAGAGTGCCCTCTTCTTGCTGGAACATCAAGCGGATATAAATGTCAGGTAAGGCTTTTATATTAATTATGGTTGATGTGCCACCAATAAAGCTGGTAACACGCATACCGCTCTCTAGCCATGTCAGATTTCCCACCGATAGCAAAGAAAGACTTGCCCAAAGATCAAGGGTTGAACACTAACTCACTCAGCTTCTTTTAGATCCTAATGGTGGTGTATTCTGAATAGCCCAGCATAGAGGAAAAATTTCAGTATTTGCGCGCCCCCCCCCCCCCCCCCCCTGTCCTGAGGGGTGTGTGTGTGGGCTGGTTTAGTAACTTTATAAAATCAGGTGCATCCTTAGAGAATCCAGTCTTCATCCAATAGACTTCAAAATTCTTACCCAGTAAGATGAATGGAAGCACCTAGCATCTTCATAGCTGTTAATGCCTGGAGACTCAGGAAGACAATTTAGCACTGGCTTATGATTAATTCATCCTTGAAAGGCATTCTTCTACATTTCATGGCTAAAACAAAAGCTAAAATATAAGACTTTGTCATGGGGCCTCTTTTGTGAGATCCAGTCATCTGGGCTGAGTACAACACTGGACTAAATGCCATACTTCCCTGTGATAGCCCAGTGCCTTTTGATTCACCTTTGCTCTGAAATAGTGGTTCATTATGGATGACTGCACGCTCCTTCATGGTAGTAGTACCACACGGCTAGAGAGCAAGCTTTGGTTTCAACAGATGTTACCCAATTATACTAGAAACATGCAGAACAGCATTCTCCACTAATGCAGAGGCTTTAATGTTATGGCAGTGACAATTTTTGGGGAGAAGTGGAAAAGTATGTGGCTACTGACTAAATTTATTGACCTATCTTTCCTATGTGTCTTAAATTAGACACTTTTCTAACCAAGGAGTTTAAAATCAAGTATGAGAATCGAGCTGATACTGATCTGCCAAACTACTGAAACAAAGATTGGTATCTTTAATGAGGTGATGACAATAGATGTTTATTACAGAACTCAGGATGGAGAGACTGCCCTTCAGTTAGCTATAAAAAACCAGCTTCCCCTTGTGGTTGACGCAATTTGTACCAGAGGGGCAGACATGTCTGTGCCAGATGAGAAAGGGAATCCTCCACTATGGCTTGCCCTGGAAAATCATTTGGAAGATATTGCTTCAACTCTGGTAAGACCAGCACTTTCATCATATCCTTACACAGTTTTACAAAAATATTTCACAAGACTAGATAGTACCTAATACTCTTTTTTACAAGGAGAATATATTACAAAAAACAAGAACTATTGAAGGAATAAAGAGCAAATAATTAAACTGTGGGTTAGTCATGCTGGTGTAGGTGGCAGGCAAGGAAGGCATTTAGCTGCCACACATTCACCTGGCTATTTTTTTCTTTTAACTAGTAACTGAGATGGAGGCATTTTTAGCTTACTGTGCTTCATTCTTAATTCAGGTAAGACATGGCTGTGATGCAACTTGCTGGGGTCCAGGACCAAGTGGATGCTTACAGACACTTCTGCATAGAGCCATTGATGAAAACAGTGAACCAATAGCATGCTTCCTTATTCGCAGGTCAGACATGAATCTGCTTCATAAAATGGTGGTGTAGCTCTCTTTGCAAGGATATTAGAGCAGGTGGGCGAGACAATCTTCTCTTGGGTCAACGTCTATTGGTGCAAAACAAGTTTACACTGAGCTCCTCCTATCTGCATAGCTCAAATTTTTATCTTCCCCCAACAGAAGTTGGTCCAAGAGATTCTCACCCACTTTGTTGCACTACAAAGGATTTTTTTTGTTTGGGCCACACCTCCTTCTTGTTTAGAACCTTTAAACAGCACTGTCCTTCAACTAGAGTGGTGCTGCCTTGAGCATTATCCAACAGTAGCTTTTTTAATGAACTGTAAAAAGACAGTTTTAACATCTGCAAATAAAGGATAGGTGCACCAGTAGAGGGCAAATATACTGTATCTCTTAATTCTTTCAAGTCGAGTGGGCACACTTCCTTCATTAATCTTGGGGAATTTAATGAACGCTCAATCCACAGACTGTTCTGTTTAGATTTTTCTCTTTAGCATGGATCAAGTTTCATTTATGAAGCAGTGACATACGCTACCAGGTACATGCCTCATGTATGTGTGATAGCAACTGTGAGAGCTGTCTTGAAATGCCAAAACTATTTAAGGAAACCTGAAATACTTTAGGCTTTTCACTGTTCATGATCACTGAAGACTTCCGTAGTAAAAGTGCTCTTCCCTCCTCTCCCCCCAGATGGATGTAAACTTTCACAATTAAGGCTTTTATTGTAAACATGGGTAAGGGTAAAACTTACGTGCTTAGCACATGCAATTAAAGATAAAGAAAAGTTATTTATTAGTTCCCATAATAGAAGAACTAGAGGACACCAAATGAAATTAATGGGTAGCAGGTTTAAAACAAATAAAGTTCTTCACACAGCGTGTGGTCAACCTGTGGAACTCCTTGTCAGAGGAGGCTGTGAATGCTAGGACTATAATAGAGTTTAAAGAGAAGCTAGATAATTTCATGGAGGTTAGGTCCATAAAAGGCTATTAGCCAGGGAATATAATGGTGTCCTTGGCCTCTGTTTGTCAGAGGCTGGAGAAGGATGGCAGGAGACAAATCGCTTGATCATTGTCTTTGGTCCACCCTTTCTGGGGTACCTGGTACTGGCCACTGTTGGCAGACAGGCTACTGGGCTAGATGGACCTTTGGTCTGACCCAGTACGGCCGTTCTTATGTTATGTTCTTAATAGCAGCTAGTGAAGTCTTTGTAAGGAAAGAGCTTTCCATGTTGGTTCAGAGCTGATAGTATCTGTTCATCCAGGGAAATAGACTTGATTAGCATGTTGTTGTTTCCAGTGGCTGTGATGTAAATAGTCCTAGACAGCCAGGTGCTAATGGAGAAGGAGAAGAGGAAGCTCGTGATGGACAGACACCTCTGCATTTGGCAGCTTGCTGGGGGCTGGAAGAAGTGATACAGTGCCTACTAGAGTTTGGTGCCAATGTAAATGCACAGGTATGTAAGATATTTAGACTTATTCCAAGAGTCTAGACTTTTCAAACTTTTTTTTGTTAGCCTGAGACTTTTGATTTAACATGCTAATCTTTTATTTGGCACCATCTTGGTGTCAGTGTTGCAGTTTTAAAATTAAAAACAGATTATCCAGTGCCCTCCCTTCTAAGCCACCCATCTGGAAGGCTGTTAGTCTGATTGAATGGACTGGGGAGATCTACTTATCTGGCTGTTGTACATGTATGTTCAACTTCATAATAAAGAGGTTTATCTCTTTCGTATGTCTTAATCCCCTCTGTGTAGAAACTGACCTTCAGAAATAGTAAAAACAAAACTAGGAATTCTAAAAATCCCTGAATTTAGTGGGCACACCTACCCTGCAGGTCCTGCCAGGCTATCCAGAAGATTAACTAGATGTGTGGCATTGATGTGTTAGAACTGATGTGCTTTATGTAGCTACATGTAGTTAACGATCCATGTTATCCATTTCAAAACTTTCATAATTAGAAGAAAACAAATAGTGGCATAATATATAAGTTGGGTAATCCCGAAGTAGTTCTGTTTCTATGTTGCATCAATAAGACACTTCTAGATTTTTTTTTTTCCCTTAAAATACTTGCTTGAGCCATAGAACTTTCTGGAATGTTTGGTGCTTGTTGTTCCTCTGAAAACTAAGATGTAGGTGTCTCAGTAGTTCAGCCTAAATGGAGTAGATGAAAATAACAGGCAATTAAGAGCCTAAAGTAATTATATTGGTGTATTTGCATGATACAGGAAGTGTAAAGAAACTTAAACTTCGAATAGGCAGGTGCATGGGAAGGGCAGAAGAACATTCAAGTAGCCAGTGGCTGAAATGTCTAATGTGCTTCAATGGGCATGTGTTATGGACACAGCTGTTAAATACTCAAGACTCCAAAAATGCAGGGCTCTTAAGGGAGAGGAAGAAGTAGTATTTGAGAATGAATAGGCAGCCCAGATTCACAAACAGATTGAAGTCTAGGACCCAAGGACGAAGTCAAATAAGTCTGTTACCTTTAAAGGTAACAGAGGCATAACAGTTTACTTAAATCAGGTAATACCTTTAAATCCTCCATCAGACTATCCCAGTCTTGCTGCACTTGCCTATGTCCTGGAGACAGAGAAGGTTATACATTTATAGATCTTTTGATCTGCAATGTGAACTTCATGGTCTCCTATTTGTAGGATGCAGAGGGAAGAACTCCAATCCATGTTGCCATTAGCAACCAACATAGTGTCATCATTCAGCTGATGATCTCACATCCAGAAATCAGACTGAATATGCGTGATCGGCAAGGCATGACCCCATTTGCATGTGCTATGACCTACAAGAACAACAAAGCAGCAGAGGCCATTCTAAAGCGGGAGCCAGGAGCTGCTGAGCAGGTAATTTGGGGGCCGTGATATGTATGGATACTAGGTAGGTTTTTTAACTCTACTAGATAAGTGTTCCATGTAGGTGAGCACTCATGCAACTGCTCAGGAAAGATTCCAATGCCACCCAGCTGATTAGCAGAGCGACCACAGCTAGGTTTTGTTGCTGATGGTGCACATTGGCACATGCCTCGGTGCATGAGACTTACTCTGCACATGGATAGGAAAGATTAGAGGAAGGCTACTCAACTTTGGAAGCCCTGGGGGGCCACATTGATACTCATAGCACATGCTGAGGGCCGCAACTTCAGTGTGGTTGTGCATATATAATATGCAAATAGCTTTCATACTGTTGGGCATGAATACAAAGACTAAGGCAAGACTAAACAACAAATGGCCCCGTTTAAGTCAGTTCTGCTGATTTTAATAAGATGCAGTATTACCCAATTTCCACCCATATGACAGCACTTGTAATGAGCACTGACAGTCGAGGAATTTAACTACTAAAAAGCATCTCAACAGAAGACTATTCTATTGACTTTTTGTTTTGGTTCCCACCCACGGGCCACGTGTTGAGCCCTATATAAACTCAAATCCTGCTGCAGGCCCGCAGGCTGTGTGTGTTGAGTAGCCCTGGATTAGAGGGAACCTTGATGCTTAGGTGTTAGTATCCTGTGCCCTGCAGAGATCTGGCTTTATTTCATTCTTAACTGGTTTACTTAAGATCTTAATCTAGTGTGGTGTGAAAGCAAAGTCTGCTAGGAAACCTGAGGTTGTCTGTGTTTGAAGAGGAGTGCTGAGCAGGGAATGGGAGAAACAGGGCATTAATATTCTCTTGTAGCGCAATAACTGTTATTTCAGACTGTCCCATCTTATGGACTTCAGTTGAAATAGACATGCTAGAACAGTGTTGTAATTCTAAAAATGAAATTTCTTTGGTCAAGTACTGGCTCTGGGACAGTCTGTTCTGAACAGGAAAACCCAATGTAAAAGATCATTCTCATGACTTAATACAATATAAAACTGTGGAACCTTCACCTGTATTATCAGGCTTCTTGGTGGAAATTTTGGACGACTGTTGAGCAGTTCTCCTACCTTGTGTAAGTTAAGAAAACTCAAGTTTTTTGGGTGCATAGTGCAGGTAACAGATTTAACTACACAAACTTGTATAATTAATCCTAAAAATCTATGGGCACTTAATGCTACCTTCAAGGCATGTGAACAGTGTCATGCACTTAGTGTTATACTTCTCCCCCCCCACTTACACAGCGTAATTCTGTGAGCACTTGTGTGTTGGGGTTTGTGTGTTTACATTAGTATAACATGCATGTTCCACAAATAACAAATAGGCAAATTTGCCGGTTTCAGTAAAGTATTATCCAACCTGCAGTTGCACCTAGAAATTAATGAGACTTCACATTTTTGAAACTTTTACAGCACAAATATGTAGTACTGGATTGAAAATGGAGGGTGTGTTAAGTGCTAGCAAATCCATTCAGCCATGTGTTTCTTGGTAACTGAGTATCTGTTCCCTAGTGAAAGTGGGCACTCTGCAGATACTTGCTGTTCTCTCAAATTGTTTTATTTTCAGTCTCTGTAATAGATGAGAACAGATTTACACAGACAACTCAAGGAAACAACGGGGCACTAATGGGCCAATGTCTCTGTACCGGGAACCTAAAAGATTTGAGTTTAAAAAAAAAAAATGGCACTGATCAGTCACGAAAGATAGCTTTGCAAATATTTACAGGCCTCTCCAGCATGAGGGAGAATAACTCTTGTAGTGGAATCCTAGCAGTTGGACAATGGAGGTTGGCATCATTGGGAAGAGGTTGACTTTCTGACACTGAATGAGAAATGATGGGCTGTGAAGGGCCTCCTAAGTAAAACAAGTAGCCTGTTTGGGATGATGGGAGACCCACTAGAGGGATACATAGAGAAGATTGATGTGGCCCAACTGACAAGGTAGGAAAAGGTCTTTGCAGCTGCATTCTGGAAAGATATGAGGTAGGACAAGATTGCATCAGCCAGAGAAAAGGATGATTTAGTAATTGATATTGTGCCTTGGAACATATGTCTAGTTAAGTTTCAGTGATTAACAATAGACTGAATGCACCTTGCTCTTCAGGAATGGTTTCATTTAAGGCTGCTTTGTATTTTCACACTATCTCAGGTGGATAACAAAGGTCGGAACTTCCTCCACATAGCTGTTCAGAACTCTGATATCGAGAGCGTGCTCTTCCTCATCAGTGTCCAGGCCAATGTAAATTCTAGAGTCCAGGATGCCTCTAAGCTAACACCATTGCATCTCGCTGTACAAGCTGGCTCAGAAATTATTGTGCGCAATCTGGTATGTATTGTAGAAGATTCATGTATTTTATTTTCTATCAATAGATTAGAATTCTCTCAAGTCTCAATGCAGATTGTAACCTTCCTAAAATCTCGAGTCACCAACCTTAAACTGGGAGTTTTTCCATGTGTCATAGGCCCAAACTTGATAGACTACTTATCTCTGCCTCATCTCTGTGTAATAGGAATATCTACCTTACCCTTAGAAGTGATGTAAGAACTAGTTGGAAAGCATTCTGCAATACATTGAAGTGGAAATGATCTAGTGAATGATCTGCTAATATTCTCAAAGGGAGGTGTTTTAGGGGTCTCTTCATTCTCATGTCTTCTAACAGCTTCTTGCAGGTGCAAAGGTGAATGAGCTGACTAAGCACCGCCAGACTGCTCTCCACCTAGCTGCTCAGCAGGACTTGCCCACAATTTGCTCCGTCCTTCTAGAGAATGGAGTAGACTTCGCAGCTGTGGATGAAAATGGAAATAATGGTAAATGAACCCACTTCCAAGCTTTTGCCAGGCTTTGCAGTTTAGCAGTCCAACTCCTGGGGCTTTTCTTTAGTTGGTATGTGGACTCCCGATTTGTTCAAGGGTATAGGAGGGACAGGGTAAGACCTAGAAATCAAAAGGGGTAGGTACATGATTTTTGCCAGGCTTCCTAACGCCTCTGGAGTCTTAATGCAACTTGAACCTTGGATTTGTCTTTCCCCTCCCCAGCTCTTCATCTGGCTGTGATGCATGGTCGTCTAAACAATATCCGTATCCTCCTGACAGAATGTAATGTGGATGCTGAAGCCTTTAATCTTCGGTAAATACCGCATTTACATACTGCTCTGCGTGAACACAGATTATTAGATCACAAGCAACTTTAAAAATGTGTGTATGTGTATATACATATATATTAATAAAACAGCATCAAATCTTTTAATTCTGTAGATTTAGCTTAGACGTTAATTGATGCACTTAAGGTGTGCAAAACAAATGTTCAAAATTGGCTTGAAACACCGTTTTAGCAGATCTCTTTTTCTCACCATGAATTAAGTGCTTAGATCACATGCATTAAACTAAATCATTAATTCAAGAAAGTAGAAGGTGAACTTAAAGCACATCATGGGTAACTAAAAATTGGTTTGCACACTTTATGGACAAGTGCATCTGAAGTTGGTGGAAATAACCGTAGCGTAAATATGTTGAGCTGCATAACACTTTTTATAGATCTATTGTAATATTTGTCTTGCCAGAGGTCAGTCACCAATGCACATTCTGGGACATTATGGGAAAGATAATGCAGCAGCCATCTGTGACCTCTTCTTGGAATGTATGCCAGAATACCCTCTGGACAAACCTGATGCTGAAGGAAACACAGGTGACAAGAATACAGTAATTCTAGAATCTGAATGTGGTGGCTTAAAAAAATATTGTACAGGCAATCAACTGCGGGGAGTATGGCCAGCTGGCATTGCACTTGTAATCCAAATACAAGTATTCAATCGTTAATCTATTATACTCTATAAGCCCAAATTGTCACCGTTCCAAGGTAACTGCCACTCTGATCCCTTCATTGTCTCCTGGGGAATCTTTCTTGCACTTCAGACTAACCATTAGAATCTCCCCTCTTTCAGACCAGAGATTACAGCTATAAGATTTCTGCAATTCATTGATCCTCAGTTCAGCACCAGTACTCATGGGCTCTCTGGGACAATGGCAGGCTAATCAGTGACCACCAGCTTTCAAAGTGAAATACTATTTGTTTGAAAGATGCATCTTCTCAGGAATGCTTTCTTCAGGAATGCTTTTTTCTTGAATGAATAGCAGATGTAGCTTATCGGCCAGTTATCCATCTTCTACCTAGGCATTCTGAGAGGATTACAGTAGTACAGCATCTGTGTCAAAGCTCCATGTCCGTTCTTAGGGGTCTGGTATGTGTGAACGTCGTTTAAGGTGGCTGCTTCAGTAACCTTGTCAATTCTTTGCTTGCTGGGCCTCTTGTGAGAATTTGCTTAAGGGATGAGGTTTTTTCCTCCAGAGTTATTCCTCTGTGTAGCAAATTCATGTAAATCCCTAGCAGTTTTGTTTCCTGCAGGAAACCCTTTTATCTCTCCCATTGAATTAGGAATATAACCACTAGCCAATATAGTGCTTCTAAAGTTGATGCAGTAGTCCTGGAATATTCTATATTATTTGTTATACATGTAGCACCTGTATGTGTTTAGAAGTTAATCTGCCCAAGAAAGGAAATGTTGGACTTTTCTTTTCAGTGCTGCTGTTGGCCTATATGAAAGGAAATGCTAATTTGTGCCGTGCTATAGTGAGAGCTGGGGCTCGTCTTGGGGTTAACAATAATCAAGGCGTCAATATCTTCAACTACCAAGTTGCTACAAAACAGCTTCTCTTTAGACTCTTGGGTGAGTACATGATGTGTTAAAGTTTAAAAACAAACGGTCCTAGGCTTTCGGTATCAGTGAGATCTGCTTAAAGTTGGGACCCTACATCGGTGGTCTGACCTGAGGGGAGCTAGGATCCCGCATATTTCACTGCTTTTGCTGAGACTTGCAGGTGCTCAGTAACTCTTTTTGCCAGACCTTTCAGTGGATCTGTGCTTCACTGCAGGCGCTTGGGCTTAAACTCGGGCCATAACTCTTAAAGTATCTCCTGGAGTAGAAGATTAAAACCCATTGGTTTAATATACCTTCTTGAGCACTTAGTGTGCTCTTTGCATACATCTTGAACAACAAACTCTTTCTGGCTTGTTTCAATGTTGCATTCTAGTCTCAAACATTTGCGGAAGAATCTAGCTTCTGCTGACTTAATAGTTAAAAAAATTCTGCTGAATATTCTGTACTTTAGTATAGGCTTAAGACCTGCTCTATACAGCTTCATTAAGGTTGGGGAGGGGAGGAATGGTACAATTGCTTGAGCCTATGATAGCACTGATCCAAACTCTGACAGCAGGGGCAAGATAATCATCCTAAATATTCATAAAAATGTTTGTGCTATGAAGTGGGAGAGATTTGATGCAAGAGACATGCAGGCACTCAATCCACAGGTATCTCTCTTTTGTTACAGATATGCTGTCAAAAGAACCTCCCTGGTGTGATGGTTCCAACTGCTATGAATGCACTGCCAAGTTTGGAGTCACAACAAGGAAACATCATTGGTAACAAAATATAAACATTAGACCTTCCACTCCCAAAGGGACACATTCAGAATCGAACTAGCTTAGCTTGAAGAAACATTCCTCTGTAGAGGGTATAAAATGCATCTGGATAAATGAGTACTTAATTCAGAGAGATCAAGGCCATTGTCCATGTCCTACTTCAATTGCTAGGCAGATCAGTTGTGTTGGTGGTTTTGTTTTCTTTTTCCAGAGCTCCATGGCCTGGCTGAAACTGCTTTTGGGTGCAGGCTACCATCTGACAGGCTGTTGGAGAGTTAGCTGCATGTAAAGAGGGAGGCTGGCTGTGAAGGGAGGGAGGGGTGTGTGTAGAGAGATCAAGGCCATTGTCCATGTCCTACTTCAATTGCTAGGCAGATCAGTTGTGTTGGTGGTTTTGTTTTCTTTTTCCAGAGCTCCATGGCCTGGCTGAAACTGCTTTTGGGTGCAGGCTACCATCTGACAGGCTGTTGGAGAGTTAGCTGCATGTAAAGAGGGAGGCTGGCTGTGAAGGGAGGGAGGGGTGTGTGTGTG